TGATCGTTAGCCCAGCTATGCATACTATGGTTCCCACTTGATCTCACCAGGGCACGGCCACCTCCACTGTAAACAGTCGCTTCAGAATGTCGTGTGCGAACAACTGATGGAGTCTCCAGTTTGTTTTAGGGTCCCTCTAGGTGGCATAATTCCATGACTTTGAACAAATGAATAGTGCATACATCTATTATAGTTCCACATGTAGTTTCAGCGCCCTAAAACTGTCTATGCTTTGCCAGTTTTTCTTCCCTCTCTTACCTACCACTCCATCCTGTTGTTGTTTTTCTTTTCCTTACTGCTTGAGACAGGGTCTCATAGCCCAGACTGGCTTAAAACTCATAATCCTCCTGCTTCAGTCTCCCAAGTACTAGCATTTACCAATATACACCAAACCCTGATTTTGGTTGTTACTAGGGTTTGGTTTAGTTTTGGTTTGTTTGGGTTTTTTGTTTGTTTGTCTGTTTGATTTGGGTTTTTTTTTTGGGGGGGGGGTAGTTCTTTCTCATTTGTCTATTTTTTTATTATTATTTATTTATTTGTGTATATAGGTAGAGGCATGTGGTATAGCACATGTATGAAGACAGCAGTCCTGATGACACTTGATATACTGGGGTGGATGGGTGGGGGATGCCCTTCTCTGAGGAGTAGAGGAGGGTGGCCAGGGAAAATAGGGAGGAAGGGTGGGACCAGGAGAGAGGAGGAAGGAGGGTGGGACTGAGAGGAGAGGAGGGAGGGGGCTACAACCGGGATATAAAATGAATAAATAATTTTTTTTTTTTTTTAATTTTTAAGGGGCTGGAGCGATGGCTCAATGGTTAAGAGCACTGTCTGTTCTTTCAAAGGACCCGGGTTCAATTCCCAGTACCCACATAGCAGCTCACAACTGTCTGTAACCCCAGTTCCAAGGGATCTGACACCTTCGGACTAATGTACATAAAATAAAATTTAAATTAATTTTTAAAAAATTAAAAATAAAAAAAATAAGAAAAGAAAAACAATTCACAGGAGTTACTTAGCCCCCACCAAATGAGACCTAGAGATAAGATCCTGATCATCAGGGCTGCTGACAAGAACCTTACATGCTCAGCCATCTCCGTGGCCCTTATTGTGTTTTCTGAGACAGAATCTTGAATAGCCAGGCTGGCCTCAACCTCATTCTGAAGCTCAAGCTAGTCTTGATTCTCCTGTTGCCACCTCCCAACTACTGGGTATTACAGGCATGTGCCATCATGCCCAGCTAGTTAATTCCATTTATTGTTACCTGTTTTAGTGTAGGGCCACTAAAATTTCTAAACAACGTATGTAAGCTGCATGTGTTGGTGGTAGAGGGAGTGTTCAGGACACAGAAGGCTCTGGGTTCAAACTAAAAAAAAAAAACCAGTTAACACAAAGAAGTTATGCATGAGCTTTATACTGCATTTCCTCCACAGCAATGATCTAAGCAGCAGCAGTTAAGACAGGGAAAGAAGAGTCATCCGGAGGAAGTATCACCAGACTTCTTAGTGAACATTATGAATGTACTTGGAAAAGAAAACAGAAAAAATAAAAAATAGGAGCTCTAAAAGCAATTGGAATAGGATGCGTGTCTGAGCAGACCACAGTAGCGGTGAAGCCCTGCAAACCCTGCATTTGGGAGCAGGAGGCAAAGTGTTTAAGGTCATCCTCAGCTGCACAGTAAGTCCCAGGTTACCTAGGCATTTAAAGAAGCCCAGGCAGGAGGGCGACAGCAAGTTTGAGGACATAGCGGTCTACACAGCAAGTTCCAGGCATACCTAAACTATACAGCAGGACTTTGTACAAAAAAAAAAAAAAAAAAAAAAAAAAAAAAATAAAAATGGGGAGAATTTAAAAAAAAAAAAAAAAAAAAAAAAAAAAAAAGTTTTCAGACTGGGGATGATGTGTCATGCATGCCTTTATTCCCCACGCTAAGGCAAAAGCAGGAGGATTGTAGAAAATCCAAGGCCTTCTTCCCACAAATTCTAAGTTTCAAATAATACAGTATCTAAGTTTGGAGTTCCTTACACCATGATGCTAAAAGACCTACTAGACTATAATACATGGCATTCATTCCCTTTCAACTCCCTTTTTGTTGCTGTTTTGTTTCTTCTAAACATGGTCTCACCACTTAACCAAGCTGGCATGAAATGCTGAGAAGTCAGGCTGGCCTCAGACTCCCAATCATCCTGCCTCCACCTTCCAGCTGCTGGGGTTATTATAGATGTCCAACACCACACCTGGCTTCCCAAAGTCAGCTGCTAAAGAAACTTCCCATTCCGGCCAAAGCAGCCCATTGCTACAAATCTATAAAACTGACAATCTGAAAAAAGTTACAGTTTGTGCAGCCCTGTCCTAAAAAGGTAACATTTTTGTTAGTGCACTATGAAAACTTGTATCCTAATTTTCTGCATTTTCTACTAGAAATTCAAATGATAACAGACATTCTGTTTTCAAATCAGAGCAGTAAGATGAGAGAAACAACCTGCCACTGACTCAGCTGCTTTCTTTTTCACTTTACAACCTTCAGATGCAAGAACAAGGCAAAAAATCTAACTTTCAAAGTGAGCAGCAAGCCAATACCGTATTTGTCTTGGCAGGGAACACCAATGAAACTATGAGATGCTTCAGTTATAAGTGGCAGATACACAAAAAGCAAAGGTGCCTTGTCATTATTTACCATGCAAAATCCTTCAAACTGCCTTTTACTACAGATGCTTAATATGTTTCCTTGGAAAGATCTGCTGCCCAAATAACTATCAAAATCTGGCACCATGAACTGTTACAGCCTACACAACACGGCAGTTCCTTGTAATTTAAAACATTTTCTTTTAAGAACAGTAAACATCCACAACTTTTCCACCAATTTCTTCAGCTACAAGCTCAAAGTTTATACTACAAAAATGCTGTATTTATTCCCAACAGAATGCACTCATTTACAAATTACACAGGAGTAAATTATTAAAATACAAAACATTGACATTTCTGACACATCTTTTCTATTATTCAAATAACCAAACAATTATACCCCAGGCAAGGTATTATCAACCAAAATCAAATGACACGGGATCATTTCACTATAACTGTTATTAAGACGTTTAGAACCCTTAATTGATTAGTCAAATGAGTCAGCATGTGATGGGAAATGGACTGAATAGCAGAAAATCTTTTGCCACTAACTAAAAACAAACAAACAAAACTAATTCAGAGCAATCCAGTAAGATGCAGGTCGTGTTCATGAGCACAAATCCAAGTTTGTTTCTGAGATTTCTGATTTCCCAGTCGTACATCAAGAAGGCTGTTTGCCAACTTTTTAACATTAACATGGAGAACAGAGAAAATATAGCGAGCGGCTCTTTATGGTCATAATGACTGAGATACAAGGAAAGGTTTCCTTTTGGGTTTTTTTTTTTTAAAGAAAAGTCACATAAAGCGTTCTAGATCTGAGGTATAATATACATGACTACCTCAAATCAAATGTTTACTGAAAACTTGGCAACAGCATACTACACCTAAAGATCTTTTCTACTTTACTTCTCCTTGGAGGCAAGGAGATGGAAAAGCAAGAACCACTCCCGAGGTGAACAGGAGGGTGAGACCATCTTAACTCGAGTTTGTGCACAACTTAGCAGACTCAGTAGGTCCGCTGCTCGGGCTACAGTGTATGACATCCTCTCTAGACACAATCGCACAGCAAGTTGAGCTTTCCATACCAGGGAATGACACCTTCCCTCACATTTGCTCAAGTAACTACGGTAACTGCTCTAAATTTCCCCGTGTGAAACCAACAAAATGTGGGGGAAGAAAGGAAGGAGGGCATTTTAAAAACTGGGTCATTCCTTATTTGTTCTCTCCAAGCGCATTCTTCGGGAGGGAAAACGGCCTACGAGGCACAAAAAGGGGGGGAGAGGGAAGAAGACATGACAGCATCTCCAATGCTTTAAAGTTACGGCTCCTAACGAGAGTCCGCACTAGGGGCTCATTAGTTGGCTTTATTTGCGTTTAGTCACTCCGCAGCTGAATGGAACCCTCCTGGAAGTTATCCCCAACAAAGCAGCCCTCAACATCGGCCACGGTCCGGCCGAGGAGGAAATGTCCTGGATTCACCTGCGGCACCTGCCCGCGCCCCGGCGCCTCCACCTCCGCAGCTTCCGCCGATCCGACGCTCTACCCCAGCCGCCACCGCTCTGCACCCCGCCGGTCGAGCGAGGGCTCGGGAGTCCGGCTCCCGCCCCGCCCCGACGGCAGAGGCCCTGCACCGAGGCGATCCTCACGAGGCCCTCCGGCCGCAGCCCCTCCGCTCGGCAGCCCGCAGGCTCCGGGGACCTCCCGCCCGCTAAGGCGCTAGGCCGGCCCTCCGCTGCCCTCCGCCGACCGCGACCTGCGCGGCCCGGGGGCGCGGGAGGCGCGGGCAGGGCGGTGGCGCGGACTCACCTGCGCCGGCCCGGTCGGCGACCGTCCGACCACGCAGCTTCCTGGGGCGAGAAGGCGCCGGCTCCGCGGCCTGGGCACCTCCGCGGGCAGGGCCGGGACTCCGGCGGCCCCTGTGCGCCTGCGCCTCCGCGCGGCCGGGTCCCCCAGGGCACCGCCTGCAGCGAGGGCAACCGCCGGCCGAGGGGCTCGCGGGCCGCGGGCGCTGCGGGAGGACCGGCGTCTAGGCGCTGCCGGTGGCGAGACTGTCCCGACCGCAGACCGCCATGTTCCTGTTCCCTTTTCTTTTTGGCCTTCTCCTCCTTCCGCCCCTTTCCACAGAACACCACTTTCCCTCCCTCCTTCCCACTCCCTTTCCTTCTGCGGGGGCGGTGGAAAGGGCGCGGGGGGCGGGGCCCTGGGTCAGCCCCGCCCCTGTCGTTAGGCTCCGCCCAGAGGCCGCCCCACGCCCCCAGACTCCTACCAAGCCCTGCGCTCAGGCCACGCCTCTGCCCTTGGGCCCCGCCCCGCGGTTTCTCGAGCTGCGCGGGCCGGGTTTCCGTCCCCCACCCCCAGCTCCTTGCAGGGGGACCCTTTCTGGCCGACCTCGGGGCGCGCTCTTAGGAGTCCCGACGCTGGCCTCGCGAACCCCGAAGCGAGAGACAGCTAGCGCTCCGGGCGCTGCTTGCAGCCTTCCTGTGAACTCCGCCTGTTTTGCAGTGGCCCGGAGCAGGTGACTGCTGCCTCCTGTCCAGGCTCGGGCTTTCAAAGACTGGGAAAGTGACACTGAATAGTTCAAGGTCAAGGAACCGAGAGCCAAGTGAAACCTGCCGTTCCCTTTTAGGAGAGGCTGGAAGTCCCACTTAGAACTGAGCGACCTCAAAGTCCGAGTGACACTGGAGAGCTGCCCATCTCCAAGCCGGCGATAGGCCTTTCTTCATTTCTGTTCAGATTTCGATAACTTCAAACGTGGAACTCTTTAATTTAATCGGTACCACGCTGCCTCCCAAAAGTAGACTAGATCTAGAGGTAAGAATTCTAAGTCTCCGCTGTAATGCGCTTTGGTAAAGTATTTCACTTTGTGTGTGTGTGAGTGGGTGGGTGGGTGTGTTTGGAGGGAGGACGACGACAGGGTCTCACTAGCTAGCCCTGGCTGTCCTGCAAGTCTGTTTGTAGACCAGGCTGGCCTCAAACCCTCGGAGAGCTTCCATTGCTGAAATTAAAGGGCGCCACCACTCGGTGACAACTTTTTTAAGGTATCACTTTTTCAAGGTACAAATGGCTTAAAGTAAGTTGCAACCTTTTTTCCTCCCGGCACAAAACGACCGCAGCTGATTGAAATGCAACTGAGAGGATTGGGGGAGGGGGAGAACAGCGCATACTGACTGACAGCTGTGAACGGTCCTTAATGAAACCTGTTTCTTCGTGTGCATCTAGTGAGTACGCGTGTACGTAACGATCATTTTGCTGGGAATTACTGCAATACTTATTCACTATTCTTGCTAACAAATATAACGTTAAGTCTGGGTGATAAGTGCCTGGTTTGCTGATTTATTTCAGAAGTTTACTGGAGGTTTGAAAATTTTTGGCTTTGACCTCTGTACCAGATACTGTTTTCCTGACCACATTAGCAGTCAGAATTGATTCAAGAAGAAACACTTAGCGATATAAATACGTCTCGGTTAGGAGCTGCAGTTAGGAGTTAGTCTGGGGCCCTGAAACCTCCTAACACTAAGAATATAGACAACAGAAATTTTAAAGACACATTCATATTTGAAAACCTAACTTGTGGACGGCTTATACTTCCTCACCAATGTAAAAACTAATACTTTCAAAATATTTAGATGGAGCTATGGTTATGCGTTTAACTTAATGGGAGAGAATTTACTTAGCCACCCTTCCGTGACCTGTGCTTCAGTTCCTGCCTCCAGGCTCCTGCCCTGCTCGAGTTTCTATTCTGAATTCCTCTAATGATGAACAGTGATGTGGAAATATGAGCCAAATGAACCCTTTCCTCCCCAACTTGCTTTTGGTCATGGGGTTTCATCATACTATATAACCCTAAGTAAGACAGTCCGAAATGCAAAAGCATTTTTTCTGCTTAAAAAAGAAAGAAAGTGGAAGAAGCCAATTTTTTTCTTATACTGGATTACAAGATTTGAGAAAATCTGAAATTTTTCTTAATGTTTTCATCACCCTAAAGTTTTACCATAAATTTTTTATTTCCTGCCCAGTGTCTCCCAGAATGAACTTGCAAGTCAAACTTTTCGTCTGAACCAGCTCTTTACTTTGCATGTTCTTGACCACTCTTGCACATCCAAGATAAATACGTTCACTAATATAGAAATACTTGCCTGCCCTTACTGAGTGGCTCAGGGAATGAGAATCCTTGTTGAGGTTCTAGCCAGTTGTCAGAGTCCCGTGTTCCAGTGTATTGCTCCTCACCAGTGGCCATATGGACTTAGTGGATTATTAATATATATTATGACGACCTTGAAGTTGGGGATGGGAATATGGCCAGAGGGGGAGGGGAGATACATAGGATCACACTTCATTGTGTACATGTATGAAACTCTCAAAAATAAATACAAAATCTAATTCCCAAATTAAAAAAACAAATAGGGGCTGAACAGATGGGTCCAAGATTAAGAACGTTTACTGTTCTTGCAGAGAACCCAAAACTCCAGCTCTGGGGGACCCAGTACCCTCTTCTGGCCTCTGTGATCACCTGCACAAATGTGGTGTACATACAAATGATCAGGCACACACATGCATGCAAAGATCAATAAATTGTTTACAAAGCTGAAAGAGAAGCCGGGTACAGTGGCACAGGCCTGTAATCCCAGCACTCAGAGGGAGGCAGAGGCGGGCAGATCTCTGTGAGTTTGAAGCCAGCCTGGTCTACAAAGTACAGGACAGCCAAGGCTACCCAGAGAAACTCTGTCTCAAAAAAAAAAAAAAAAAAAAAAACAGGAAAAGAAAGTGTTGACTTGGCTTGATTAAGTGCTCTCTTTAAAGAAATTTTCCATAAAGGAAAAAAAAATCATATTTGTATTTTTTCATGGAGCCTTAAGTTTGATGCTCAAGAAAATGTTTAGAGAGCACCTCTTCTTTTTTTTTTTTTTTTTTGGCTTGTGTCTGTTTTATTATTTTTTTTTACAATAATTACATTTTATTAGCTTTGTATCCCTGCTGTCTTCCCCTCTCTCATTCCCTCCCAATCCCATCCTCCCTCCCTCATCTCCTTCCATGCCCCTCTCTAAGTCCACTGATAGGGGAGGTCCTCTTCCCCTTCCATCTGACCCTAGCTTATCAGGTCTCATCAGGACTGGCTGCAATGTCCTCCTCTGTGGCCTGGCAAGGCTGCTCCTCCCTCAGGCGGTGGGGGAAGGGGAGTGTAAGAGCCAGCCACTGAGTTCATGTCAGAGACAGTCCCTGTTTCCCTTACTAGAAAACCCACTTGGATACTGAGCTGCCATGGGCTACATCTGAGCAGGGGTTCTATGTTACATCCATGAATGCTCCTTGGTTAGAGAATCAGTCTCAGAAAAGACCCCTGTGCCCAGATTCTTTGGTTCTGTTGCTCTCCTTGTGGAGCTCCTGTCCTCTCCAGGTCTTACTAACTCCCCTTCTTTCATATGATTCCCTACACTCGGCCCAAAGTTTGGTTATGAGCCTCAGCATCTGCTTTAATACACGAGAGCACTTCTTCTAACAAATTCATTTGGACTTTGAATTAGGATTTCTGTGGTTGGGTTGGGGTCTTGCTCTTTCTCACTGGTTTGTCTGTTAAAACAGGGTCTCATATATTACAGCTGACACTGACCTGATTGACCTGTTATGGAGCCAAGAATGGCCTTGAACTCCTCCAGCCTCTTCCTCCCAAGTACTAGGATAATAGACATACCACCATGGCAGACATTGTGTGTGTTGGGGGTGGGGGGCGGCTAGGTCATGCATATGCCAGGCACCCACGTGTTCCACTAAGCTATACTTCCAGCAATCTGCTTTACTCTTACGATACCTAAATGACCCAGAGTGCTGGCAAGTTCCACGTCTCTCTCCCCACATCTTATCTGCATACACTCTGTCCTGCATTATCAGCATGGGCTCATGTGAGAATCTCGGGGTCACTCACCACAGTCTCTATTCAGCCTCCTTTATGAGGCCTCTTAGAGAAGCTTGGCTCAAGACACAACTTGAGTTGGAAGAGAGGAAGTAATCCTGAGAAGAGTGTGCTAACATCACAAAGAGCAAGGGGAGAGCCGAAGAGACAGCTTAATGGTTAAAAGCACTTGCTGCTCTTGCAGGGGATGGAGTTCAGCTTCTAGAACCCATATCCAGTGGTTCACAACCTCTGTAACTCCAGCTCTGGGGAGTCTGATGCCCTTGACTGTCCTCCCTGGGTACCTGCACACAGGTGGCATACACTCACATAGACACATAGATGAGCTTTGAGGTCTCAAATTCACAAGCCAGGCCTAGTATGACACTCTCTTCCTGCTGCCTGAAGATCCAGGTGTAGAATTCTCAGTTCCTTCCCCAGCACCATGTCTGCCAGTGTGCCTCCTTGCTTCCTGACATGATGATAAAGGACTAAACCTCTGAACTGTAAGCTAGGCCCAATTAAATGTTTTTCTTTATAAGAGTTGTTGTGGTCTTGGTGTTTCTTCACACAATAGTAGCCCTAACTAAGACAGAAGTTGGTGCTAGTTAGTGTAGTGGGGTATTGCTCTGACCGACGTGACCATGTGTTTTGGGGAAGATTGTGTAAGGACGTTGCAACTTTGGACTAGTAAAACCACTGACTGGTGTGGCTCATGCCTTTAATCCCAGCACTCAGGAGGCAGAGGAAGGTGGATCTCTGTGAGTTCGAGGCCAGCCTGGTTTACAGAGTGATTCCACAGCAGCCAGGACTACACAGAGAAACCCTGTCTCAAAAAAACAATAAAATAAAATAAAATAAAAATAGAGAATTTCTGAGTGGACATATCGGCATACCCCTGTAATCCTAGCCCTTGGGGAGGCAGAGGCAGGTGGATTGATGTGAGTTTGAGGCCAGTCTGGTCTACAAACCAAGTCTAGGACATCCAAGGCTACACAGAGAAACCCTGCCTCAAAAAAAAAAAAGTTGAGCGCAGTGCAGGAGTATGAAGTTTCAGAGGGAAATTTAAGGACTCAATCAGGGCCATTTGCTCTTTTGAATTGAGATTCTGTCATTTTGGTCAGATGGGGCTGAAGACTGAAGATTCAGCAGCACCATTGAAGTGAAACCTTTATGTTCACTGGGACAATAGATGCTGGTTAGCTGGAGCTAAGAAATTAGCAGTGATTATGAAGACACTAAGCCAGGCAGTGGAGACTCACGCCTTTAATCCCAGCACTTGGGAGGCAGAGGCAGGAGGATCTCTGTGAGTTCAACAAAACAGAGCGAGACCAGCATCAATGAGGTGAAATCTTGGAGGTGTTTTCTGAGAGCATAGAGAAGCTGTGTTCCAGAAGCGTCCAGGTTTCTACCTCACGTTGGCAACCTGACTTGGGAATATGTAAGAGTCATCCAGATGATACTGTTTTTGAAGGCATGAAGGGGTCATGCCTTCAAGGAGAACAGCTAGGGCTTGGCAGTGTGAGAAGCCAAGAGAGGCCTTTGGTAAAGGTGTGATCTCAGTGGCCGTTGAAGGTCCAGGACTGAAGGGGTCAAGCAAGGAAGCTGAGTCCCAGCGCCAGGAAGAGAGCCCTCTGGGAGAGGCTATTGGCAAAAGTGCAGCCTGCTTGCAGCAAGGGACCTCGGCAGTTTGGAGATGCCAGTACCGTGGGATGTTGACCACCAAGAACAGCAGCGGCAGTGGAGTGGGAGCGAGCCAGAGGCTAGAAACTGTGCTGCAGAGGGCAGAGCTGGAGAAATGACTCTGGCTCTTTGGAGAGTCCAGAATATCATGAGTGAAGCCCAGAAAAATGGACATTGAATTGTCTATACTGTTGGAATTGGGTTTGGTTGATTCAGATTTTAACTGGGTCCTGGTTCTTCC